GGGTGGGCTTCAGAGCCCATGCTCCAGCCTGAACTTCAAAGCCTGTCAGCACAGCTATTTTCAGGGTCCTGGCATGAACTCCTCACACTTGAGTCTGTTGATCTGGGCTGGAAAGCTCCCTGTTGCAAGCTGCATAGACGTTCCCTTTGTCAGCACAGCTTGTTTCATTCAGGAAGCTAGTATAAGCTATGCCAGCAAATGATCTTTTTTGCCAGTATAAGTTATGTCTCCAGGAGGAAGGTGAGCCAGCAAACCTTTTCTAGCCTAGACAAGGCGTCAGTCCCTGCGGAATCCTAATCACTTGCTGTTTTTGTTGGCTCACCAGAATGGTTGGCTTCTGCCTTCTTTCCCCAACTCTTGTGATTTTCAAGGATTTCACAGGGTGACTAAGAAGCCCAGAAATATTTTCAGGGCGGAGGTTTGTGCGGGACAGAGGCAAACTTGCCTGTATGATAATGAACGGGTGTCTTGGGAATTTGGCCAGACCAATAGTCCTGTCTAAGGACTTGTCTGGACAAAAAGTTGTTACCACTTGAACTGTCCTAGTATGGTAAACATGTACAACCACTGTAGTGTGGGCACTTATGGAAAGGGAAATAAGCTATACTAGCATAAGGCCCTTTAAAACAGTGTAACTGCATCCACTCTGGGGATTGTCCTGATATAACTTTCTGTTAAAAACCACACTCCTAACCAACAGTTATACTGGTACAACAACCTATGCGTTGACCAGGCCTAAGTCTGGTTTCCCCAATGCCCATGGCATCTTATGGTAAATGTCCCAGGGAATGGTCATGTGCCAAATTATCCTCTGGGCTTGTGGGAAAGACTTTCCTTCTGGACTCCCAGCTCATGCCCTGAAGAATGAGACTCAATAGATGAAATTTTACCATAGCTACAAATCTTTGAGATCGGCACCTAATATTTAAAAAAAGAAACTTGAGTTGTTTGTCTGGTGGGTAAAAAGCAACAAAACCACCAAACCTACGGGAGTGTTGCTAAACCTATGCAGGCTGGCAACCCCTTCTTTGAAATCCCTTTATATTGACAATAAAAATAAGAGTAAAAAATGTATCCGTGATAAGTGTTAAGTCTGTGTAATTGATTTTTGTGTGTGTTGAGAGGCTGACCGAGAATATTTGCCCTTGAAGGGGAGGTTAATGGGGGAATGAGATTTGCTTTGCTTTAGACCAGTGGTCCCCAACCTTTCTATTGCAATAGCATATTCGTGTTCCCTGAAGAGTGTGGCGGGCGCTGGACGACCAGCCACCAAGAACCAGCGTCATCGAGAAGCGTCGCTGCCAAAATGCCGCCGAGAAGCAGCGGCATTTCGGCGGCGACGCTTCTTAGCGTTGCTGCTTCTCGGCGGCATTTTGGCGGCTGGTTGTCCTTGTCAGTAGGTGGGCGCGCATAAATGCCCCAGTGGGCGCCATGGCACCGCGTTGGGGACCACTGCTTTAGACTGTAATAACAATTTCAGTGCCTCGCCATCTCCCTGATTGTCTTTTGTCTCTCTCCCGGTTGAGAAACACTCCCTACAGTATCAAGTTCCACTGGCTGATCTTTTTTTATGCCATGTGTATTTCTGTTTGTCTATTTTAAATGTGTTGCTTTAAAATTTTCCGTGTCTCTTTGGTCTTGTAATCCTGCAAAATACCTTTGTTGGGCAATAGTTATGTTATATAATGCACCTCTGTTAGATTTCCCCTCCTATACAGGCCAAATAATCCTATTCTTCCGTAATGTCATGTTCTTCTGTGGAGCTGGAATTACCTTGCAATGAACTGGTTAAGCAGTATATAGAGAAGGCCGGGGAATAGCAAGCCCTGTAGGTAAGCAGCGAGAAGCTAGTGTTTTCCTGCCTGGAAGCGGCATTGGTCTTACATATCCCCTTGTAAACCCTTGTCCCAGCCTAGAGGGAGGTTGAATGCTTAGAGGATTTCTGTGCTTGTGAAATCTGTTCACCAGTCGTGCTTTTCCCGATGTTCTGGACAACTTGGGCTTTCATTTTTTAAAAAAAAAAGTTTCCATAATCATTGTGGGGTTAGATTTAAATTCTGGTAATTAATAAGAAGCCTTTTTTCCCCCATGGGGCAGGCAAGTTTTGAGATATGTAGGCTTTTTCAGCCGGCCAGAGATGAGAAACGTTTAAAAGATTCTTCTTATGAATTTGTTTTCTTGGTAGCTTGTTTTGACTTGTATTCTGTGGCGAATCAAAGGAGGGTGACGCTTTATGGTGCATTTGGGGCAGAGACTGTCTTTTTTTGTTCTGTGTTTGTACACTCCTAGCAGCATGAGGTCCATGTCCATGGTTGTAGCTCCTAGGTGCTACTGCATTGCAAATAACAAATATTATTTATTACAGCTTGACAAATACTCCACAAAGTTTCCCATTAGTCACTAGAAAAAGCAGTGTGTGCTGGATCAGACCCCTGTAAGGGAACTGCTGTCAAGATAATTATGTAGTTTTAAACAAATTCTCTTCTTACATTATTCATAGCACCAATTCTGTGACTAGTTTAGTCTCCCAATAAACAATGGAAAACTTCTTAGGCAACCAAAGAGGTAAAACCAAGCCTAACCTTCAGGTCTAAATCAAACAGAGTCAGTTTGATGGACACCAGTTTATGTGGCAGAAAAGCCTCTAGACTAGGAAAAAGCCGTGTACGGCATTTTGGGGGAAAATGTGTGTGTGGTCTAATAAAAGGAGTATAGAATGGGGAATTTCTGTTCACAGTTCCATGAGGGAATGTTGGCTAGTAGTTAGAACTCAGGACTGGGTGCCAGGACTCCCTGGGTTCTATTCCTGACATCAGTGATTTCTTGTAGTTTCTTAACTGTATTGTCCTCAGTTTCCCCTTGTGTAAAATAGGTATAATACCTATCAGGATGTTGTAATGCTTGATTGTAAAGTGCTTTGGGATCGGTGGATAGAATAGTGCTCTGAAAGGGGAAGAACTAGCTAGGGCAAACTAGTATCTCAGAAAGATTATTTGTTTTGACTGCTGGGTGGGATGAAAACCATGCAGAAGACAGTTTGATAATCCCCTCTGAACAAATGACTAATAAACCCTTAAGACCAAGGCACTAAACACTTGTTGCTTTGCTGTGAAGTTAGTTGGCAGCTTCTGGCTTGCACAGGATCTGACATCAGAGTTTTCAGTGCCACATGGTCGCGATTGGAAATACCTTCTAGAAGCAGGTTACTCCTGCATGAAGCAGGTGTTCAAGAACCTACAATTTCTGATTTCATCAATTTCAGGATTTCGTAGTTTCCTTGGCCAGAAGGGACCATTGTGATCATTTCGTCTGACCTCCTGTATAACACAGGCCTTAGAACTTCCCCAAACTAATTCCTGATTTGCTTTGTTCGGTCCCAGAGCTGGGCTAAAAAAATCATTGCTAGACCCAGGAGACAGTGACAGATTTAAAGGTCTGATATATTATGAACCATTGGGTCTAGAGACCATTGAGTTTTCTTCTAGAGAGCTGGGATTCTTAACGTTCCAGTGGTTGTGGTATTAATATTTTATTTCTTTTAGAGTAGCACCTACCGGCCCCAACCAAGTTCCGGACTCCGTAGTGCCAGGCGTTGTGCATGCAGACAAGACACAGAGTGAGAGGAGAAATGAGCAGGCAAGGGGAAGTGACTTGCCCAGGGTCAGTGGAAAAGCTGGGAATAAAACCCAGGTCTTTTGGCTTCCAGCCCAGGACTTTATCCACTAAACCACACGAGGTCTCAGTGGTAGATAGAGTGTCAGCTCCTAACTTGGACAGTTTGAGCTACGCTGCAACGTAGGGTGCTCAACACAGGAGCAATGAGCCAGATCACAAGGAACCCAGTGGAACAGGTTAAACTAGTTTCACTGTCCAATAAACTTCTTATTTGTGTCACACAGCACTTAAATGCCCCAATCTGAGACCAGGGCTCCATTGTGATGGGTGCTATACAAACAAGTAAAGACAGTCCCTGCTGCACTGAGCACAGTCAAGGGTTGTGACGAGATGCAGCACTGGAAGAAGCAGACGAAGGGGGTGTGATGGGAGAATGGGGTTAGTGAAGAAATCTAGCACGAAGCAACTTTTGTTGTCTTGTTTTAATAATCTAAGGCAGGTGTTCTCACAGTCAAAGTGTAGACTACATCTTAGTGGGAAGTGTCTTCAGTATTGCTAACTCCAGTGTTGAAAAATGACGAGTCTGGTCCCTGCAAAATTATGAAATTGTCATGAGATTTAAGGGGGGGAAATTGGTTCTTTTTATTTGCTAAATGTTTATTTCTATCTCTAAAGGTTTTCTGAGCCTTTAGAGCTAGAAACTTCCTTTTTATTTTAAATTTTAAGCTGAGATTCTCCCGTAATCCCAAGACTCCTGGAGCTGGAACTTGAAGGAAAATAGGAAAAACCGTCAGGCTGGCAAAACAATCACGAGAGTTGGTAACACTGGTCACACCTCCCTCTGCAAACATGCCTGGATCCTGTCCTTCCACAAAGAGTGATGTCCTGTTTCCATGACCCACATGGGTCCTTAGCCTTTGCAGCTTGGGCCAGAGCCTGAGACGCGCAGCATTAAAGTTCCTGGGAGTTGGCGTGCTCAGGCTCCTTTTCATATTAAACCTTGTTCCTGTACTCACAAATGGGGCCGTTATTTGTGAGACACACTCCTTTCAGTTTGATCTAATATTGAATTGCTTCCATAATGTTTTGTCCTCCTCCCTTGAATTCTCCATGAACGGACACTTTTTTCCCTGTCTAACGCAAGCATGATCAGCAGGCATGTTACATATTGTTCCTGGCTTTGCTTGCTTTTATTCAGATGATGTTTATCTGCTTGAAGCGTTTCCAATTGCTCTGCCTCCCTCCAACTCCAGCCTCATCTGGTTCCTCTTCCTTAAGTAGCCCTTGGAATCACATGATTTGAACAGGAGAAACCTCATTGTCAGAAGATGCGGGGAGGTGGAGGGGATCCTCTCATTTTCTCTCCTGAACCCTATTTAGGTTTTCTCCCTCAAACCTGTTGCAGCTGCATTCCTTCCTGCTGAACATGGCTGGGTCTGGGATCTTCCTAGGTCCATTTTAGGAGTGACAAATCATGACCACAACTGGCACTAATTGGGCCCCCTTCTCAGCATAGAGGCTGGGGACTGAATTGGCTATGGAGACTAGACATTGCTGCCCAGGGTGGAATTGAGGCTCGTTGGTGGGAGAAAGCTGCCCAGGTTGTCCCTTTTCTGGGAATAAACAGCAGATCAAATCCTGGATATCGATGTGACACCTTCTGGGAGGACTAAATTCATTCGAAAGAGCAGTTCAGGATCAGACAGTAATGTTTTAAAGCTAGGCTGGGGGAGGTAACATTTTCCAGCCAAAAGTTTTACGAGGAGACAATCTATAGAAGTCTGCTGAGATTTTATCAGCATCTTCAGTGCGTCTTTGCATCCTCCCCACGCGCAGTGTTTGAGCAAATGCTTCTCAGAACCTACTTCTATTTTTTGTTATTTAAAAACCATTTTGTCTCTGTTAGGTGTTGCGAGGGCAGTTCTCACTATGGTATCTAAGCTCTGGAACAGATCTTCCATAGGCATCAAAACGATCTCATGATGGCACAACTTTCCCCAGTCCTACTTCACTGACATTTATTATCTGGGTTAAAAGTACGTTGGCTTTACGCAGAGATGAAAGTGTCAGATCTGCAATTTCGTACCAAGCCAGATGGGCAAACAGGGAGCTGTTTATTAAGAAGTCACATGCACTGAAGTTTGCCAAGAATCTCCTTATTTTTTCCACATACTGAAAGTCAAGGCATATGATTTCTGTTCTGATTTCTGTGTGCCCTTTCCAGAAGGGTTGGGGAAGGGCATACAGAAGCCTCAAAGCCATGACAGTACCCATGAGATGTTTAGCAAATGCTCATGCGAAATGTTTAGCTTGCTAATGTAAGGGTAATACAAATAAATAATAATAATATAGGGGCTAGCATAATGGGGCCCTGATTTGGATCCCCAGGTTCCACTGCGATATGACTAAAAATAATAATTCTGTGGTTGGGAAGCAGTTCAAGTGGTAATTTGGGCCCTTGCAGGGTTATTAGCATGATCAGGGGAATGGAAAACCAATCTTACAAGAGGAGACTAAAAGAGCTTGGCTTTTTTAGCGTAGCAAAACCGAGGCTGAGAGGGGGATATGGTTGTGCTCTCTAAATACAGCCCAGGGAGGAAGAAGCCCTATCTAAGCTAAAGGACAGTGTCGGCGCAAGAACAAACAGGGATAAACTGGCCAGGAATATAGGCTGGGAATGAGGTTTCTCGCCAGCAGAAGAGTAAAGTTTTTGAGCAGCCTCCCAGTAGGAGTTGTAGGGGCAAACAACCTCTGAGCAGTTTGAAAATGGAGCTTGATCCGTTTCTGAACGGGATGGGATGAGGGGGTTGGCCGTGATAGCACGCACTGGGCGCAATGACCCAGGAGTCCCTTTCAGGCCTAGGCCTGTCTTCCTAAATTAGGCCTTTCTATCCCTAGTTAGCCCGCTAAATAAGTGGCCTCCTTTCCAGAGGTGTTGAAAACCCACATGTCCTATGGAAATCATTGCATGGCAGGTGCTTAACTGCACTGAAAATCAGCCCACTTAGGACACGATGCAGCGAGGCACTTAAACACCGGCTTCACTGGAACAACTCCCATGCATTAAGTACCTTGCCGAATCAGGGTCTTATTTAGGTGCCTAATTTAGGTACCCAAACTTGAAAAATTTGACCTCAAAGTTGAAAGCCAGGGAGAGGGGAGGGAATTTACCCCTCTCCTCTAGGAAAGAAAATAAGTTGGAAGCTATTGAGTCTAGAGAGAGTTCCTGGAGTGAAGCAGAACTATCTTCTTAGCAGAATTGAAACCGGTCCCGTCAGCTGGGTCCAGAAACTGGCCCATGTTGGCGTCATTTGAAAGGGCCTGTAAATGCTATCCAAAGATGTGTAGCTGCAATGGGAAAGTGCTAAATATTCAGGGCATGTCCATTCTGCATGGCGGGGAGTGCGGAGGTCCCAGGCAGACTTAGTTAGCCATCAGATCCTTTATGCTTTTATTTTTAACCTAAACTCTTCAGGGTCTAACAAGCCTCAGATGAAATGAGCTAGTTGGACTCGTGTGTGTGTTGGGTTTTGTAGGGCTGAGAGGCGAGTTATTCTCCTCATTGGTTAGTCACTGGATGTGGGGTAGAAATGGCAAGCTTTACAGACCATTGAAGGGACCACTTTCTAAAGCAGCCCGTGGCCAACTTATGGAACTCCCTGCTGCAGGAATTTCCTGGCCAGTAATAATATTGGTAATTGAATCTCATACTTCAGTATGATGATCATTGCAGGGCTCAGGAAGAAATCTCTCTTCCCTGCCATGGGCAGCACTCCATAGATAGCTAACCGGGGTTGGAAGAAGAGGGTGTTTTATCCTCCACTGGTGGAGGCAGGAGGCTGGGCTTGCTGGACTGATCCATTAAGGCAAATCCTGTCTCGCTAGGTGCATTTCCTATACTCGGTTGTCTCTTTCAGAGCCGCTCAGTATGCCTGCACTCTGCTCGGCTACACGCTGCAGAAGAATGGAGCGAGTGCTGATTTCCTCGCCAGGATCAAACAGCTCGAGGCTCACATGAGCCTGGGGCGCAAGCGTAAGTGAAATCATCTTCTCAGAGGGATGTAATGGGAGGCTTCCAGGGTCTCTGAACAAGAGAAACCCAGTTCTTCTTACCCCGCTAATTACCTTTGGTTGTAGTTTTGTGCTACAATGCTGGATGGGGGTGGTCTATGGCCCCGCAGCTTGGCGTGGAAGGCTGGAGGGATGTCAGTTATCCCAGATCCCTGGCCCATTTGGCATCAGTGACGTGCTTAGTAGTGACATAACAGCAGGGAGTGTCTGGCTGACTCTTCGTTCGACCTGCTTGATGTTCCAGTGTTCCGGCTGGGGAACTCGGCGGATGCCCTGGAGTCGGCGAAGCGAGCCATCCACCTGTCGGATGTGGTCTTGCGCTTCTGCATCACCGTCAGCAACCTGAACCGAGCCATGTACTTCGCCTGCGACAACATCCTGTGGGCGGGGAAGTCGGGCCTCCTCCCTCACATGGACCAGGAAAAGTGGAGCCAGCGGTCCTTCAGGTGAGGCTGGGCTAGTGCCGTTTGCTTTTCCTGGTAAGGGATGATCCTGTCTGGTGAGTGTGTGTGTGTGTGGGGGTGGGAGAGGGGGGGAGTTTCTGACAAATCCTTGCGAACGATAGCTGTGCTGCAACAGAAATAACTCTGCCTTTTCCCTGCTCCCTATCACTTTCCATCCCAAAGCACCTTGCTAACCTTGCATACAGGAATCACTTTGCCCAGCACTGAACAGCAGCTACCTCTGGGGTGGACCGCAGGAACGGTTCAACAGCCCGCAGGAACTCTGTGCCGCGGCTCATTGAAGCATAGCCATAGAAGTTCCTTGGGAAGTGCTAATAGGCAGAATATAAAGCCCTAGTTTTGAATTTGCATCAGGCAATGGCATTAGCACCCCTACGCTTGCAAGAAAAAATGGCCAGGGCTCTTTATTAGCAGCAGTGATACTATTTAACACAGCAGCTTGTGTCTGCAGATCTCAGGGCTGCACAGAAATGGGTGAGTATCATTTTCTGTGCTTTTACACACGAGGAAACCGAGACACAGAGCAGCTCACCCTTCCCCTCCCCTCCAGTACACAGCAAGGTTGTGGCAGCCCTTGGAATAGAACCAGGATCTGGTGCTGCCTCCTGTGCACTGAACTGTGCTGCTTCTGACATCCACGCAGGGTCAGTGAGCTCAGTTTAACACCCCACATGTCGGGCTGGGTGCACGTGAATGTCTGGGGGGGGAGATCTGCATTGGCCATATTGCCTTCCAATAAGGTGACATGTCCTGTCATGCAGCTGACCCTCAGATGGGATTCTAGTAACACTTCCCTAGCATCCATCCAGAGATCCCAAAGCTCTTGACAGACATGAAGCCTCCCACCCCCTGGAGAGGTAAGTGGTGCATCCGTCCAATAGCTGGCTAAAGCAAAGCACAGAGAGGTGACGGGACTCCTCCAAGGTCATTCCAGTAGAACCCAATCCACTGCTTTAGCCTTCAGTCACACGTCCGGGTAGGAGCTGGGAATAGAACCCAGGAGTCCTGGTGTCTCGACCTGTAGACTGGCCACTGAACGACACGTCCTACGGTTATATCCTGATGAAGATGCTTCGGTTCTGTCCACGCTGCTGTCGGGAGGTGCGATCGGAGCACGTGCGCACATGCCCAAGGTCGCTTTAATAGAGCCAGGTCTCGTTCCAATGGCAGCATGGGCAGCGGCACAGGCTAGCCAGCACCCTGGGTATGTACTCAACCGACCACCGCCCATGCTGCTGCTGCTTCACTAGCTCTGTTAAAACTAGCTCAGGTGTGTCTGCACGTGCTGCAGTCACACACCCCAGCTGCGGTAACGTAGCTTTAGGGGGCCACCCTGCTCTTAGAATCATAAAAGATCAGGGTTGGAAGGGACCTCAGGAGATCATCTAGTCCAACCCCCTGCTCAAAGCACGACCAACCCCAACGAAATCATCCCAGCCAGGGCTTTGTCAAGCCTGACCTTAAAAACCTCCAAGGAAGGAGATTTCCCCCACCTCCCTAGGGAACCCATTCCAGTGCTTCACCACCCTCCTAGTGAAATAGTGTTTCCTAATAGCGAACCTAGACCTCCCCCACTGCAACTTGAGACCATTGCTCCTTGTTCTGTCATCTGCCACCACTGAGAACAGCCGAGCTCCATCCTCTCTAGAACCCCCCTTCAGGTAGTTGAAGGCTTTCTATCAAATCCCCCCCTCACTCGTCTCTTCTACAGACTGAATAACCCAGTTCCCTCAGCCTCTCCTCATAAGTCATGTGCCCCAGCCCCCTAATCATTTTTGTTGCCCTCCGCTGGACTCTCTCCAATTTGTCCACATCGCCTCTGTAGTGGGGGGCCCAAAACTGGACGCAATTCTCCAGGTGTGGCCTCACCAGTGCCGAATAGAGGGGAATAATCACTTCCCTCGATCTGCTGGCAATCTCCTACTAATACAGCCCAATATGCCGTTGGCTTTCTTGGCAAGGAGGGCACACCGCTGACTCATAACTCTTGTTAGAGTCAGTGGGCGTTTCATCCCTTTAGTGGACAGTAAATATTAGCTGATAAACCCTCTCTCCTTCCCCCTTCTGCCTTTCAGATATTACTTCTTTGCGCTGATCCTGAACCTGAGCCGGGATGCCTACGAGATCCGGCTCCTGATGGAGCGCGAGGCGTGCGGGAAGCGTCCGAAGGGCAGCGAGACCAGGCACGCGCTCCGAGCAGATAGCAGTCTCCAGCATCTGGTGCTGAGGCTGAAAGTCCAGCTGCACCTTCTTGGGCACGTGCTGAGGAGCAACCCCCCTCTGCTTGTGGACGTGGTGAAAAACGCCTGTGATATCTTCATCCCGCTGGACAAGCTGGGGCTGTACAAGACCAACCAGGGCTTTGTGGGGCTGTGCGGCCTTACCTCCTCCATCCTCTCGATCCTCACCATCGTTCACCCCTGGCTCAAACTTAAACCTTAACCGGGAGGACTGGCAGGTTGGTAGAGGGATGTGGAACCTTCGCCTTTGTTACCGGTTCAAGGCCAGCCCAGGATGTTAGGGGTCCAAGGTTGCTACTATCCAGTGGCTGGTATGCAGTGAATTTCGGGGCGGGGGCTCGATCCTATGATAGGACAAGCGTTCACGGTCCGCCACCAGAATTGATGCTAATTCACAGCCTTAGCCAGGGATCGGATGAACCATGGAGACTGAGCTCCCCTCTTGCCCCTACCGGAGTTCCATGCCTCAGTTTCCCCACCTGTAAAGCCAGGAGGTAGCGAGTAGGGGAGGCCTTCGTTGCTGCTGCCCATGTACTACCTGGTCTATGGATACAGAGTGGACTTTGGTCTCCACGGCTGCCCAGCTGGCACCTTTCACGTGGAAGTCCTGTTTTAAATATAACCCTTGAAGTACTGTGAGTAACAAGCGCCTGGAGTTTGTGGCTAGAGACTCCTGAGGTGGATTGCGAAGCCCCGGTTTATTAGGCATGCCAGGTAACTTTGAAAGGTGCCGAGGAAGCTCGCGGCATAGCGGCACTTAACGGTGATGACATGACATGGCATGTCCTTGTGTGCGCTGGCAGAGTGCAGGCTGCAGCATTCCCAGCCGTTCCTGTTGATGCCGTCCCCAGTTCTGACACCTCTGCCATGCCTGGAAACCGTGGATTTTTCCTGCTGCCTTGGCAGCAACATTAGGTTAGGTTTGATGGTAGGAAAACAAAGGTAAACAGCAATATTCAGTCTCTCCTCCTGCCTCTCCTATTTGTTTCGGTCTGACTCTATTTTTCCATTGTTTGTTTATAAAGCACATAGGGATGTTCAGGCATGGAGCATGGTGACCTGTGAAAGCGGGTAAGTGAAACTGACATGATCTGCACCAATTTGCAGCAATGGGTAGAGACTGTAAGATGAGGTGTGATCTCGGCGCAGGGACAGGACTGAGGACTCCCGGTTCTGTTGGTTTTTTTTTTTTTTTTTTTTTCGTGCCCTGAATGACTGTGGACCTTCATGTCTCCGTGCCTCAGTTTCCCCATCTGTAAAGTAGGAATAACACAGACCTACCCTCCTGTGCCTGCACTCCTGTTCACCCCGCTAGCCAAATGCTCATCCCGCTATTTTTTTTTTAATGGCTTCTTTGGTGTACTTTAATAAACTGGAGAGGAGGAGACAACAAATGGGGCAGTGCTAACTTTGAATGGAAATCTGTATTGAGATTGTTTTCGTAATAAACGTACATGCTGATCTGAAATTACCACTTTACTGGAGTTTATCGAGTTCTGTTTCTCTGGGCAAAGTCAGATCATCAACGCAGCCCTCCAGACTGATGGCTGATCTGGCTGCAGAGAGATCTTGAGCACCAAGGATTGCATTTATACCTAAAGCCACTGCGTTCTTCGGTGATCTTTTAATTATGTATGTAGGATAATGAGAATGATCTTGCTTGCGTTTAAACTGTCGTGGGCTGTACACATGGATGCTCTTAGCGATCAGTGTTCTTTTTCCATGCCTTCAGGACTCATCCATACCTTCAGGACAACCCCTCTTTGAGGTATGTCTAATATTATCTCCCTTTTTACAGCTGAGAAACAGAGGCACAGAGAGGTGAAGTGACCCACCCAAGGGTAGACAAGTCACTGGCAGAGCCAGGAATTGAACCCAGATCTTTGTGACAGCGTGAGGATTCTGAGCCGGGTTTCCACCTGGTGTAAATGGGTGGTGGTCCCTCAGTGGAGCTGACTTGCATCACCTGAGAAGTTGGCCTGTTCTTTCCAACCCCCTAGACATTAAAATCCCACTGATGCCTCATCAGTACCTAGCAAAAGCTTTCATGGCGGGAGAATTCACGGTATTCTCTGTATAATTCGCTCCTTCTGCTTTGTAGTCGGTGCTGGTAGTATTAATGTGAAGCCAGGCTCTTGGCTGCTTTGTTCCTCACCCGAAGGCCCAGTCCTCTACTTGTGGTATCCAGGCACATATTGCAGAGTGGATTACCATGCCTCCAATAGAGAATTTTGCCTTTGGTCAAGGCCTGAAGCAGCAGGAACATACAAATAACAAGGAACAAAGATCTCATTCACATGCAGCCATGGTTAGCAATGAAAGAGAGGGACAAAACTGTCTTTAAATAGAACATTTTAAAGACACCCCTCTGCCCCCACCCGGAACGGCAGCTTAAAATATCAGCTCCATCAGTTAATGTTTCTGAATTAGCAGTGTCTGATGGTTTACTTCGATTTGTGCTGGAATTCTGTAGACGCGAGGTGCCTGTCTTCGATCAGAGAAGTAGATAGTGCAGTGCGTAGAGCACTAGCCCGGGACTCCGGGGAGCTAGATTCAGTTCTCTGCTCTGACACAGATGTCTTATGTGACCTTGGGCAAATCACTTAGCCTCCCTGTGCCCCAGGTCCCCAGCAATACAATGGGGATGACAGCCCTGCCCTGCCTCCTTGAGTGTGGTGAGGATAAATATGTTAGAGTGTGAGGTGCTCAGATTGGTAATGGGGGCAGATAAGCATCTGAGATAGTCAGGGCAGAGGTGTGTCTAGCAGTCTTTAACCAGGGACCAGCCCAGCAAGCCTGTATGTTTCACAAACACAGTACTTGATACGTCTCCAACCTTGCCAGCTCCCTTGGATGCAGCTGGCTCAATCCTTGTGTATGCAAGGCCTCGTGTGCAGCATGTGCCAACCACAACCCCACCAAAATGCCTGTGGCCAGAGCCTGCTAGGAGAGAGACCACTTCTTCGAGTCAGAGGGTTTGAAAACTTGCTCTCTGGCTGTCATCATGGAATGAATGAATGGAGTAATTTGCTGAACCTGATTCTCATTGCCCTTCACACCACTCGGGCAGTGTTGTAAAGGGCCCTTAAAGTGGGTGTGAATGGCCTACTTTAAGTATCAGGAGGTAGCCGTGTTAGTCTGTATCTACGGCCTGGTCTACACTAGGACTTTAATTCGGATTTAGCTGCCTTAATCCGAATTAACCCTTCACCCGTCCACACTACAGAGCCAGTTAATTCGAATTAAAGGGCCCTTTAAATCGATTTCTGTACTCCACCTCGACGAACGGAGTAGAGCCTAAATCGATTTTGTTAATTCGAATTAGGGTTAGTGTGGACGCACACCACCGAATTACTGTGTTTAAGTTAATGGGGTAGTGTGGCCGCACACCACCGAATTAGGCTATGTCTACACTACAAAATTAGGTCGGATTTATAGAAGCCGGTTTTATAGAAACCGGTTGTATGCAGCCGATTGTGTGTGTCCCCACCTAAAATGCTCTAAGTGCATGAAGTCGGCGGACCGCGTCCACAGTACCGAGGCTAGCGTCGACTTCCGGCGCATTGCACTATGGTACCTATCCCACAGTTCCCGGAGTCTCCGGCGCCCATTGGAATTATGGGTTGAGATCGCAATGCCCGGATGATGCAAAGCAGTGCCGCGAGGGGTTCTGGGTACATTGCGTCAGGCCCCTCCCCCGCCGTCACAGCAACGGCAGACAATAGATTCGCGCCTTTTTACCTGGGTTACCTGTGCAGACAACATACCACGCCAAGCATTGAGCCCGCTCAGCTCAGCTCACCGTCACCATATCTCTTCCGGGTGCCGGCAAACGTGGGACTGCATTGCTAAACAGCAGCAGCAGCTTACTGCCTTTTGGCGGTAGACGGTGCAGCATGACTGGTAGCCTTCATTGGCGATCTGGGTGCAGGCAGCCGTGGGGCTGGCAGCCGTAGGGCTGCATTGCACCAGCCCCTTGCCTTTTGGTAGAAGATGGTATATTACGACTGGTAACCGTCGTCATCGTACTGCAGTGGCTGTCGATCATGGGCACCCGGGCAGACAATGATGGTTATCAGTCGTAGTATGCTATTTTCTGCCAAGTGCCCAATATTGTCTGCTAAGCACCCAGAAGAGGCCGATGGCGATCTGGGTGCTGGCAGACATGGGGCTGGCAGCCGTGGGGCTGCATTGCACCAGCCCCCTTGCCTTGATGATGATGATGGTTATCAGATGTACTATGCGTAGGATGGGGCTAGATTGCTACACAGCAGCAACCCCTTGCCTTTTGGGCAGTAGATAGCATATTACGACTGGTATCCATCGTTGTCATACTGCAGTGAGCATCAGATCGTGCAATAGACCTGAAGGCTTACTGCCAAGCGCCCAGTATTTGCTGCCAAGCACCCAGAAAATGCCAAGGGCTATCAGTCATGCTGCACCGTCGTCTTAAGATGTAAAAAATAGATTTATTCTGCATTCATTTGCTTCCCCCCTCTCTCCTGCTAAACCCAGGCTTTTGAGTTCAATCTTTGGGGGGGGGCCATTCTGTGTGACAGTTGTTTGTGTTTCTCCCTGATGCAAAGCCACCTTTCTTGATTTTAATTCCCTGTACCTGTACGCCATGTCGTCACTCGCCCCTCCCTCTCTCCCTCCCTCCCTTCTTCCCCTGGTCCGTCAGATACTACTTTCGCGCCTTTTTTCAGACCAGACGCCATAGCCAGCACTGGGATCATGGAGCCCGCTCAGATCACCGCGGCAATTCTGAGCACTATGAACACCACGCGCATTGTCCTGGAAAACATGCAGAGCCTCCTGGACATGCCAAAGCCAAACCAGGACCAGCTGAGGAGGAGGCGATTGCAGCGCGGCGACGATAGTGATGAGGAAATTGACATGGACCTCTCACAAGGCACAGGCCCCAGCAATGTGGAAATCTTGGTGTTACTGGGGCAGGTTCATGCCGTGGACCGCCGATTCTGGGCCCGGGAAACAAGCACAGAGTGGTGGGACCGCATCGTGTTGCAGGTCTGGGACGATGCCCAGTGGCTGCGAAACTTTCGCATGCGTAAGGGCACTTTCATGGAACTTTGTGACTTGCTTTCCCCTGCCCTGAAGCGCCAGAATACCAGGATGAGAGCAGCCCTCACAGTGGAGAAGCGAGTGGCGATAGCCCTGTGGAAGCTTGCAACGCCAGACAGCTACCGGTCAGTCGGGAATCAATTTGGAGTGGGCAAATCTACTGTGGGGGCTGCTGTGATCCAAGTTGCCAGGGCAATGAGAGACCTGGTGATATCAAGGGTAGTGACTCTGGGAAACGTGCAGACCATAGTGGATGGCTTTGCTGCAATGGGATTCCCAAACTGTGGTGGGGCGATAGACGGAACCCATATCCCTATCTTGGCACCGGCGCACCAAGCCACCGACTACATAAACCGCAAGGGGTACTTTTCAATGCTGCTGCAAGCCCTGGTGGATCACAAGGGACGTTTCACCGACATCAACGTGGGCTGGCCGGGAAG